GGCTCACCACTTGCCCACTTGCCTCTGACTAAAGGCTCACCACTTGCCCACTTGCCTCTGACTAAACGTGAGACACTTCGAAAGGCCACTTCCGGACCTTCCGGAAGGCTGTGGACTTGGCCTTTCGGGTACTGTCGCAGCTATGATCTTGACCTTTCAGAATACCTACAGCTACGACCTCTACAAAGCTGTGACCCATAATCCTCAGACCTACAGATCGAACCCATACCACTACACAGACCTACGACAGACAACAAATACTGCCAAAACACAGATCAAGGGTTCAAACACTCGGGTGTCGACTCGATACTGTACATGGGCAAAGTGAGGTCTGGGGATCGAATTCCAGGGCCCGCATCTGTTACGGCAGACAGTGAAAACCGTTTCAAAAGGCTGTGTTTGGCAATTTTTGCACTTTGGAAAAGAACTTGAGAGCGCGAGTCTGCAGGTGCGCACCCTTTGTCTGTGCTCATTTTCACAAATCCCGGTAAGACTGGCCATCCTCTTCAGGCCAATGATTGCATACAGACAACTAAAACCTGTGGCTGTCTGATCACTCATCGAGCTGAACTTGAAATGTGCAGAGCAGTTTGTGGAAAGATTCCCTGATTTGACATATTCTTTTCCGGCCCTATTGTAGTTTGTGATTGTGCCACTGTTTTCATGCCGTTATCCATTGATTCTATTCTCAAAACTGCTGTCAATGCTCCCATCTGATTTCAATGCTTACACTGTCAAATGAACGTAAATCATGGCGACCTCATTTCAGAGACTCAATGAACTCCTGACTTGAAACAGTGGCTTCTGATTCATTGGTCAATTACGTGCTGGCAGGTTGACATTTTTGCTGATGCAGCAGTGCTTATGACCCAGTACTTGGCAGAGATTCGAAGTCAAGGGTTCAAGGTCAAGTACCTGAACATTGGTGGAGGCCTTGGCATTGACTACTCAAGATCTGGAAAGGTGTTGCCGACACCAGTGGATCTGATAAACACGGTGAGTGTGTCGCCAATGCAGACTGCCGGCATACACCAGGTACGTCTCGCTGTCTTTCCCTCATCACTCCCTGTCTTCCCACACATGCGCCTCCTACCCGAGGAGCAACATCGTCAGTCATCCATAATGCGCCCAGCATCCTAGCTATGGACGCCATGCGCCTGCTGCCACAGGGAGGCCGAGTGCAGTGGGCTGGTGTGCCCACTGGATGTCACACATGATGTTAGGTTTAAGTTTCAGTATTAAACATGTATACTCATTCTCTCAGCAATTTGGTCGAGTGCATAGCATCGTCCCTCTTGCCGGCGGCGACACGGCTTCGAGCGAGGCGTTTGGTTTTGTCGCCTGCGCCTGACCCGGTGTAAAAGTCACTGGAGTTCCTGCCCAGGGAGTCCTTAGATGGCTTTGACTGTGACCTAAGAATATGTGACCCAGAGCTAGATGGCTTTGAGTGTGACCTAGGAATGAAGAAAGAAACATTCATACCACACATCACATAACAAAGAATATGTACAAGACGAGGAGAACAGAAGCTAGACTCTGCAAGACCATGACCAGAGAGACCAGAGAGACCAGAGTAGTACACGTGGAATGCCCCGTACAGCTATTGAAGGACTGCAGTCACTGAAGAGTCATAATAATGATAATAATGTACATCACAGTGACACAAAAGAATTGACCTCAGTCAATGATCACGAGTTGTACTCCCTAATGATTGGGCTCGGTTGTCTGAGACTCCATCTCTGGTACTAGCTGATCTTTGTCAGAGACTCTGGGACTCTGGGCTCGGCTGTCTGAGACTCCATCTCTGGGTCGAAATCGACTCTGGGACCACGTAACTGATGTCCAGAGAGGCTGCTGGATCAATCTACAAAATGTAGGCCATGCACCGAGCCATCTCGTCATCCGCAACACTCCTGAGGAATATCTCCTGTCGCTCCAATCAGGATCTGAACACGTCCCTTGCCGTAGATATAATCATAAGACACCTCGATAAAGCAGTCTCCGTAAAGGGGCTTCCGAAAAGCCTGCACAGCAAAGTTTGCTGCCACAAGGTGACTTTAGCCATCATCGACACAAGGGACTGGTCCCTTTCCCCTGGAAGGGCTGGCGACCTCCTCGGACTTGAGTTCTCCTGACATGTGAGGTCTCAGTCAATCCCACTCGAGTAGATAATGTGCAGTAGCCAGTGTTGCAAGTTGTTCAGTCCACTCAAAGTGAAGCAAGCTCAATCCCTGTGAGTGTCCTAGTCGAAGTAATCCACAAAGTCAACATCGCTCACGCAGCAGGGCTCCTGGTCCAACTCGTCTGTCTCTGTCCTCTGTAAGCAAGTGGTGATAGGGATCTTGAATCTAGCCACCACGCCCCTTATCCTTTTGTACTTATGTCTCTTTTCCTTGCTGCTGCCTTTGCTGAGGGATTTTAGATTACAACCATCAAAGTCAACGATAGCACCATTGGGCGTAGAGGGAACTTGGGGAAACACCACATATAGCCAGTGTTCCTTCCAGTAGCCCTCCCTGTGGAAAATATATGCGGCAATCCTTCCAGAGGTGCTTGGGGCG